ATTTTCATGGTAATTTTATTTATTTATTTATTTATTTATTTATTTATGGTCTGAGTGGAAGACAGCAACCGTTCCAACACAACACAACCATATCTGTACTTCATGCACCCTCACCCACTGAGTGAGGACCATTAATTGCTTTGGCATCAACTGATCAATGATAGACAATGGCCTATACCAGCTCAAATCACCCTCAACTGGTCCTTATGAACATCTAACAGAGATCTAAACACATACTCCCTTTCTCTTTCAGACATTAGACATAAATACAACACCACCACAATGTCTCAGAGACAAAAAACAATCAGAGTCCACACAAAGAAGCAAGAAAAATTAGTGGAAACAATGGACGAAGGTAGAAACCCAGGAAATATCCCTGAGGAAGAAGCAGCATTGGAACTCCCTGATAAGGAAGTCAAAAGAATTATATTTGAGTACCTTCAACAGATTGAGAGACAGACAGATCAAGGAAAACACTGACAAGATCAAGGAAAACACTGACAAAATTAAGGAAAACATAAACAAAATTCTAAAACAATTAGAGAAAAAATACAAGGACAGTTTGACAAAATAAATGCAAAATTAAAAATGATACAAAAAAATAATAGAAATCCAGAAGATTAATACTAAGATCTCAAAAAAAGATAACACATTGAATGGGCAAAGGAGTACAATTGAGTGAATGGAATACAGAATTAAAGAGATTGAAGGCAAATAACTCAATACTATTTCGTTAAGGGATCAATCAGACAAAAGATCAAAACAAAATGTAGAAAGCCTATGATTCTTGTGGGATACCATCAAGAAGAATAACTTATGTGTACTAGAATTCCAGAACACGAAGGGACAAATGAAACCACAGAGAAAATTGTCGAAGATTTGTTGGAAGAGAATTTCCCTAATATAATGAAAGACAAGATTATATCCTTTCAAGAAGTTCAACAAACCCCAAACAGGATACACACTAAAAGAAAATCACCAAGACATATCTTAGTCAAGCTTACCAAAACCAAAGACAAAGAATCTTGAAAGCAGAACAAGAAAAAACAAAAAGTTACTTATATAGGGCACCCAATGGACTAAACTCTGATTTCTCAGAACAAACCATTCAGGTAAGAAGACAATGGGATGATATATATAAAACCCTGAAAGAAAAAAAAATCTCCAAACAAGAATTATATACACAGCAAAGTTGCCCCTCAAATATGAGGGTGAAATTAGGAGATTTCCAGATAAGCAGATAATAAGGGAATTTGTTAAAACCAGACCAACCTTACAAGAGATGCAAAATGAAGTCTTTCAGACAAAGAACCAACAATAGCAAACAACAGCAGATGATTTACAGACATGCTGACATAACCAAGAAACTAATCTAGTTAAAGAAGTATCCAAAGTAAAATAAGCTTGCAAAACTATAAACAGGGAACAAAAGATATCAATTGGTAAATGAGGACAATCACAAACCAAAAAGAGGGAATAAGCAGTGTAGGTAAAAAACTTCTAAATGGTGAGTGGTCAAGACATTTTCAAGATAGAACACACAGTTTTAAACTTGGAAAGAAAATAATAAATCATAGGATAACCTCAAAGAAAAATAGTGAACCTTCATATCAAAATGAAAAAGAGGACAAGTACAAATATTTAGCAAATACTAAAACAATAGCAACAAAGGAGATGATGACAATTCATAAATAAAATGAGTTCAGCACAGAAAATTATATGAAACAAAGAAATCAGCAACACCATGAAAAAAACACATAACAAAACGGCATAAATAAAATCACACCTTTTGATAATTACAATGAATATCAATGGATGAAATGCACCACTCAATAGATAGAAAGTTACAGACTGGATAAGAAAACAAGATTCATCAATATGCTATCTACAAGAGACTTACCTTAGACAAAAACACAAAAGAGACTAAAAATCAAAGGTTGAATAAAGATACACCAAACAAATGGCAATTTAAAAAAAAAAGGGAAGGAGTGGCAATATTCATTTCAGATAAAATAAACATTAAGACAGAAACCACCATAAGAGACAAAGAAGGACATTATACAATGATTAAAGAATCAACTGAACAAGAGGACATAACCATAATAAATATCTATGCATCCCATGAAAGAGCTCCAAAATTCATAAAGCAGATTTTAAAATAATTGAAAAGACAAATAGAAGACTCCACAGTAATAGTTGTTATGTTATTGTTATGTGACATTGAGTCAGCCCCGACTCATAGTGATCCCTCCTTGGGTTGCTGAGGAAGTATCACTACCGAAGTAGATTCCTTCCGAGGAGTGGCTGGTGAGTTTGAACTGACAGCTTTCTGGTTAGCAGTCAAGTGCCTTAGGCACTATGCTACCACAGTAATAGTAGGAAATTTTAATACACCATTTTCAATAAGAGATAGAACAACTGGGAAGAAACTCAAATAAGATGCAAAAGAACTAAGCAATACAATCAACCAACTTGACCTTACAGACATCTACAGAGAACTTCACCCAACAACAGTAAAATATATTATTTTCCAGCATACAATGAACCCTCTCCAGGATAGATCATATGTTAGGACACAAAGCAAGCCTCAATAAATTAAAAAATATTGAAATACTGAGAAGCATCTTCTCAGATCACAAAACTATAAAATTAAAAGTCAACAATAGGAAGACCAACAGAAAAGAGCAAACACATAGAAACTGAATAACACCCTCCACAAAAAAAGAATGGGCAATAGAAGAAATAATAAATTTTAAAACTCCTTGAATGAAATGAGAATGAAACACGAAATACTAAAATCTATGTTGTTGTTGTTGTTAGGTGTCGTTGAGTCATCTCCAACTCATACCAACTCTGTGCACAACAGAATGAAACACCGCCAAATCCATGCCAGCTCTGTGATCTTTGCTGTACTTTAGCCCATCGCCACAGCCACTGTATCAATCCATTTCATTGAGGACCTTCCCCTCCTTCGTCAACCGTCCACCTTACCAAGCATGATATCCTTCTCCAGGGAACGGTCCCTTCCAATAATATGACCAAATTATGTGAGATGAAGGCTGGCCATTCTAGCTTCCAAGAAGCATTCTGGCTACACTTCCTCCAGGACAGATTTGTTAGTTCTTTTATCCATCCATGGTACTTTCAGCATTCTTCTTCAGCACCACAACTCAAAAGCATCAATTCTTCTTTGGTCATCCTTATTCATTGTCCAACTTTCACATGCATATGAGATGATTGAAGATATCATGGTTTGTGTCAGGTGCACCTTAGTCCACAAGGAGATATCTTTGCTCATTAGGACTTGAAAGAGATCCTTTTTAGCTGACTTGCAGTGCTATACATCATTTGATGTCCTGACTGTTAGTTCCATTGGCCTTGTTGTAGAATGAAGCAATGTGAACTCTTTGACAACTTCAATCTTTTCTCCATTTATCATGATGCTGTTTATAGGTTCAGTTGTGAGGATTTTTGTTTTCTTTATATTGAGTTGTAATCTATACTACAGACTGTATGCTTCAATCTTCATCAGTAAGTGCTTCAAGTCATCCTCACTTTCAGCAAGCAAAGTTGTATCATCAGCACATCACAGGTTGTTAATTATTCTTCCTCCAATCTTGAAGCTACATTCTTCTTCATATAGTCCAGCTTCTCAGATTATTTGCTCAGCATATAGATTGAATAATCATGGGGAAAGGATATAACCTTGACATACTCCCTTCTTGATTTTAAACCATTGCCCCCTTGTTCTGTTGCCTCCTGGTCCATGTATACATTCCTCATGAGTACAATTAAGTGTTCTGGAATTCCCATTCTTCTCAATGTTATCCACAATTTGTTATGATCCACACAATCAAATGCTTTTGATA